GTGAGTGTATTATGTGCCACAGTATGGAAATGTGCGTAGCGTACGGACGTCGTGTGCGAGTTTCTTCTGGAGCTCCCTCTCGTCCTCCGAGGCCATCCTGTGTGTGTGGGTGGTCCACACACGGACCACACCGTCCTCACAACACGACACCACATCCCCATTAGGCAGCTCACACACCTGTCACGTCACACACTCAACACACACCCTTACAGAGAGGTGGAGGGGCGTGGGTGGGGTGGCTTCTCTCTGACCTGCCAGACGGTGCCGGCGTGCAGGATGGACTGCTGTGCCGGCTCGCCAGTGAGCCGCACATCCCAAACCTTCAGCAGCTTGTCGTCACCACCAGAGAACACCCGACCCACATGCACCGATGACGCCTTCACATCTACACGAACGAACCAAACATGCCAGCCAACACATGACAGACACACAGACACACACATCTCTCCCTGTTTTCCACTCACTGCAGAGTACCTACCGAATATGAAGGCGGTGTGGTCGACGTAGTCGCCGAGCTGCGTGCCGTCGAGGCCCCAGGCCTTGATGTGGCAGTCATTTGACGCCGACAGAAAGGCAAAGGGCAGCGCGTGGGCGGCCGAGGGGTCCTGCTTGATCACCGTAAAGGCGCGCACTATGTCCTCGTGAGCACCTGGTGGATCGCCACACACACTTGCAGTGAGTGTGTGTCGCCATAGGGCGTCCTCGCGAAAGCTTAGCTACTAGCCTTCAATGGTGCGAACGAGCCTGCCGTCCTGCCAGAACCGGATGGCCTTGTCCTGCGAGCCCGTGACCATCTCGCCATTTGGGAGGATCGCCACACACACTGACACAGACAGACAGACAGACAGAGAGAAGGAGTCCAGCAGAGGTGTCACTGTGTGAGTGTGTGTGTGTGTGCATGTGAGATGACTGACCGGCGTGTGTGTGTCCGGGCATGGTGTACTCGCACGCCTCGGTCTCGACGTTCCAGACCTTGGCCGTACCGTCCCAGCTGCCGGAGACCAGCCTCGTGCCGCCCCCAAACTCCACCAGTGAGTTGACGGCCTTGTCGTGACCCTACACACATACACACACACACACACACATTCTCACCAGCCAGCCAGCCCCCCACCTCCCCGCAGTGACCCCACCACCCACCTTGTACTGATTCACGACGGTGCCGTCGACGGACACCCGGCAGACGCGCTTGTCATAGCCCCCCGTGTAGAAGAACACCCCGCCCCCCGCCGTGATCTCGCTCCCGCACACGGCGTACACAAAGTTGGTGTGGTGCGTGAAGCTCCGCTCGTGGTGGAACCGGTGGTCGACCTCAGCGCGCCGCCAGAGGATGACATTGCCGTCGAGGTCGCCCGTCACCAGCCGCCCGTCGCGGAGGACACACACGCAGCGGACGGCCTTCTGGTGGCCGACCAGCTGCTGGCTCAGCACGAAGTCCTTCAGCTCCTCCACATCCATATGAGTCACACCTTCTGCAAGCGCAAAGAGATCTGATCTGCAGATCCGGTCCGCACAGACAGACATGGCGCACAAAGATGCTCGTGTAATCAGCTCTATGGCTTCTGATGTGATATCCTCACCAGCCGTCCCTTCTCGTCACGCTGCCGTGAGTCTGTCAGATCTGACTCAGAGCATGCCTTTCTGGACGCCTAGGGTACTGCCTAAAATCGCTGCTGCTTTTGAGCAGGAAGGAAGACGGCACCATTCAGAGGTGCATGCGTTAGGTAGGCGGAGAGATGGCTGACAGCAGCCAGTCGGCGTCAGTGGAGATCTCCCAGCCTCCGCAAGATGCCGTCACCAACGTGACCTTCGCGCCGGTTCCCGGCGACTACTCCCTCCTCGTGTCCTCCTGGGACGCGGTATGTGAGCACAGCACGTGTGCGTGTGTATACGATACGTGGCAGGGGAGAGAGAGAGAGATC